CCTCCTTCTTAGTTTCCAATCTCCATTATACCACTTTATCATACATATATACCCAGCATTTAGCTCACACTTATAAGTGAAAACATGTGGTATTAACCCTATGTGATCTTACCTCTCTGACCTTGCTTCCCTCCTCCCTTGCTCACCATGTTCTGACTTTGTCATGCTTTCGTATCCTCAAATGCACCAAGGATGCTCTTTCCTTGCCTTTTTTCTTCTTCCTGGAATATTTTTCTACCAAATAACTGCATGACCCACTACCTCGCTTCCCATAAATGTCACTTTCATTACCGCAAATAAAATGCCCCTCCTAGCATTGCCAGCTCTCCTTCGCACTCTAACTTGTGTATTAGTTTGTTAGAGCTGCCATAACGAAGCACCACAAACTGAGTAAATTAACCAACAGAAATTTATTTGTCTCAGTTCTGGAAGCTAGAAGCCTGAGATCCAGTTGTCAGCTGCATTGGTTCCTTTTCAGAGCTATGAGAAAGAATCTATTTCATGCCTCTCCTTAGCTTCTGGTAGTTTGCTGGTGATCTTTGACTTGTAGAAGCATCGCCCAAATCTCTGCCTTCATCTTCCTGTAGTGATCTCCTTGTGTTCGAGTCTCTCTCCAATTTCTCCCTTTTTTATAAGGACATCAGTCATATTGGGTTAGAGCTCACCCTAATGACCTCATTTTAAATTGATTACCTCTGTAAAGACCCTGGGAGATAGCTTTTACAGAAGTGATCAATTTTAATGAATCTAATAAGGTAATCCATATAAATAAAGTCACATTTTGAAATAATGGGGATTAGGACTTGTGTTGGGGCACACAATTAACCTATAACACCTTCCTTTATTTTTTATCACATGTATCATCATCTCACTCATTTTGTATCTAACTGTTGATTCATTTTATTTGTTCATATCCTACCTCTAGGGAAGGACTTCAGTAGTTTTCTTTGCAGTTTTATACCCAGTGCCTAGAACATTACCATTTGCATGGTAAATAATAAATATTTGTTGAATGAATGAATGAATGGGTTAACTTATTATCTATTAATATATGCTCATTAGATACAGGACACTAATCATTATTAGTTCAAATGCTTTACATGCTTAGTAATATTATGAATGAAAATATTCCTGAGGCCTAGAACATTACCATTTGCATGGTAAATAATAAATATTTGTTGAATGAATGAATGAATGGGTTAACTTATTATCTATTAATATACGCTCATTAGATACAGGACACTAATCATTATTAGTTCAAATGCTTTACATGCTTAGTAATATTATGAATGAAAATATTCCTGAGGCCGGGTTAGAAATGACCAAAGGTTTTACAGATTCTTATCTTACCATCTAATACACAAAATTAACATTGTACTTTCTTCATCTCAAGTTGAGATCAACACAAATGTAACAACTATAAAATCACCAACCAGAAACCTCTGACATTAGAATGCTTCTTCAAAAAAGCAGTTATAATTTCCAAAATGACTGTTAATTTTCCAGTAGTCACATCACTTCTTTTTTTTTTTTTTTTTTTTTTATTTCAGCAAATTATGGGTGTACATACGTTTAGGTTACGTGTGTTGCCCTTGGTTCCCCCCCCCACCGAAGTCCGTGTTTCAAATATGTCCTTTATCATGCAATCTAAGCTTTTCCTAAACTTTAAGAAGCAGCCTAGCCTTTTCAAATAATTAATTATCAAATAATTTTATCCATGAATTACTTCCTGAACAGATGTTCGCCCCTTGCTCTCCTTGCCTTATTTTATATTGATTCTTGCTCCCAAATTTCAAGTCTGCCCAATTTACAGCCTCGTCTGATTCACCAGTGAGATATGACCACTCACTCAAGTTACTTCTATACTCCTTCCTCATCTTTCTGAAGAGGAATTAACCTCTAGAGAAAGAGATTTCTTTAAACAGACAACATTTACAATATGTCAATGCCAAATGGTTTCCAATGGTGACTTTGACTTTCTTCTGTATGAATACATTTGAAAGAAACAAATGAATTACTGCCAAATATACTTTTATAACAATTCCCTCATTGGAGAAGAGAAATAGGAAATATTTTTGGGGTATATACTATGCACCAGGTCTTGATCTATGCCCTTAATAATTATAATTCTATTTAAGGGGCATTATGATCCTCACTTTACAGAACAAAAAAACAAAACTCAGAGAGATAAAGTTTTGTGTATCATTCAAGATGCAGTCGATTATTATGCTACATTTGGTGAGACCACATTCCCTCTCTGGGCCTCACCATTGTTGTGAGAATTATATGATGAAACCATGTATGGGGAAGCAATTTGTAAGTCATTTGTGCCTAATTCTGGCATTTTGTTTCCAAGTCTAGAATTTGTTTTCTGGTGCTTATACTCTATTGAAAAATAGATGATTAATCTGATAAATTAAGTCCTGTGAAGATATCCTTAAATGGCAATGTGTTAGCCCTTTAGGAAATATATGTGTGTCTTAACAAGTTATTTGTTTCCTTAAACTGGAGATTTGCAAATGTTTTCTTAGAAGTGACTCACAGGCAAATATAAGTTCTCATCCCTACCTCAATTTGAGCATTGTCCACTATTGTCTGTTTTATATTTCATTTCTGCATACACCCCCCAAAAATGAAAACTGATGTTTGCTATCTTTACCTGTCTATAAATGGGCTGATTAAAACCAAGTTAATGATATTTAGAAAATGTGGCATTTCAAGGCCTCCATGACCTGCAAATAGTTCCACCTAATCTACTTGTCCACAGCCAAATCCAGCTGTGACCACCCACTGGGAAAGCAGAATATTATGACTCCATGCTCTTCCTCTTCTCTGTAGCTAATGCTCTCTTGCTAACTCCCCCACCACCACCAATTCACTTCCAAGCCAGTCTCTCTGGACCCTCTTCCCTCAGTTGTATTTTAAAGTTTGTTCCCAAAGTTGTCAACAAAGGACATTCATTAGTCTGTTCCAAACAAGAATCCCCAGGGCAACTTGTACTTCTTCACTCAATTGATCCCCCAGTGCATGCTCTCAACAGAACAGATATACCCTTCATCACTCTAGGTAAAGTCTAACCTGGGATAGAAGGGGGAGCTCATATTCTGCCTTCTGAGGTCATCCCTCCATTTCTCCTAGAACAGAAAAACCCAGGACTACTCTGCTCCTCAAAGTCCTTCTTTTAGCCTCCTACTTATTGGCTCTACTCAAAAAAAGACAAGATGTCCAAAAGCTCTGATTCAGCTTCAGTCCGAATAAGTTGAAGACCAGAGATCAACAAATCCCCACTAAATGGATAACAGACAGGAACAACAAAAGACTACTTCTTACCAAGAGAAGCCCTGGGAGTTAATGTATTTCTATGAAATGTAGTATACAATTTGGCAGAGAATATAAAAAATGCAATAAATTTTATATTATTTTATAATTATATGGCCTTATAATTTTGACTTATTCAAAAATATTTAGGAAAATATACCCGCTACAGCCATTTGTATAGACAAGTGAGGAAGTATGCTTCCTGTTTATAGCTTCATTGATTTTACTTCTCTGCAGTTATGAAACCTGAAACTGATACAGATGTGAATACTCAACCACTCCCTGAAGACTCCAGGTTGGTAACCAAGAGGACAAGGGCAGCTAGAACCTTGTGTAACTTTTCTTAATCCCTGATTCCAGCTGTGGACTGTGATCCATTAAGGGGTTATAAAATCAATTTAGTGAGTTTCAACCAGCATTTGAAAAAACCTTAAAATAGAAAACATCAGATTATATCATATGTAGTAAGAAATATTCTGTGAAACTTTTAAGTTAAGATATGTACATGTTTGCTGAAAAAATATATGAACTTTAGAATGAATTGTGGTCAAAATGTTTTAAAGCTTCTGCCTTATAAATATTTATAAAAAATGACTAGAAAAAGTCTTGAATATATCAATAAGGACACTCAAAGATAATGTGACTCTTTCACCACATGAGCTTACAAGTAAGTAGAAACTTGAAATGCCATGAAATGTTCAAATATGGAGCTCAGAAAATCCTGGATTATAATTTTATATGCTTTCCCCCACAGAATTCACATACCCACATACACAAAATGTTTTACACATGATTTAGTGGATTCACAGACAGAGTAAATCTAACCTAGGAATTAATGAATCCCTGGTTAAAAGCTCCTGCTTTAAATATTCTCAAGCTCCTAAAATATCCTTGGCATGTAATAGAATCTCCCTATCCTTACAGGAAAGCAAAACTCTAGATCTAAAGATTTTGAATGTGTTTGGGGAAGTTAAGTGCAGATTATTATTCTAATCTAATATTTACTGACCCCTAGACAGGTGTGTAGAATGCTTCAAAGGACAGAATGGCATAATCCTAATACAGAGATCTTTGAATTCTAATAAACAGACATAGGCAGAAAAGTTTAGAGGGTCCATTGGGAAGAAATGAGGAGCTGACGCTTTTTGGGATCAAGGGAATTAAGGGAGTTGAACTAGAAGAAAAGTGAAAGATTGTTATAATTATATGAAAAAAGAACAAACAAGGCAGGGAAGAGTAAGAAAAACAGCAATTCTGAGAAGAGTTAGGCAGACAAAGGAAGTAGGGCAATGGGTGGAGTCAATGGGAAGTAAGGAAAGTGAAGAGGGGGTGAAATTAGTAACTATTCTGGAAGGAGGTAGCAGCTGGAGGCATTCCTTTATTAATTTATTTCACAACTTTTTCAACATCATCTGTGAGATAGACACTTGCTTCATGCTGGTACTGGGGAGAGTGTCACATGGGGAAATAATGACAAGAACTTTTCTATCTAGGGCAAACAGGACTGGGGAGGATCCAACAGCATTCCAATGGGCCAGTCATCTGGATCACATCATCAGAGGAAAAGTTCATGGTCCGTTTCATTTTGTTCTCAGGTTTCACCTGTCCATTTCAGAGCACCTCTTCCTTTCTCACCTTTGATTACTCTCTTTTTCACTTTGAGACTCAAAATTTTTTCAACAATGAAAAATAAAACCAAGTTGACTGAGTTCATCCTTCTGGGTCTAACAGATGTCCCTGAACTCCAGGTGGCAGTTTTCACCTTTCTTTTCCTTGCCTATTTACTCAGCATCAGTGGAAATCTGGCTATCCTCATCCTCACCTTGCTGGATTCCCACCTTCAGACCCCCATGTATTTCTTTCTCCGGAACTTCTCCTTCTTGGAAATTTTCTTCACAAACATCTTTATTCCCAGGGTCCTGCTTAGCATCACAACAGGGAACAAGAGTATCAGCTTTGCTGGCTGCTTCACTCAGTATTTCTTTGCCATATTCCTTGGGGCAACAGAGTTTTATCTTTTGGCTGCCATGTCCTATGATCGCTATGTGGCCATATGCAAACCCCTGCATTATGCGACCATCATGAGCAGTAGAGTCTGTAACCAACTGGTTCTCTGTTCTTGGCTGGCTGGGTTAATGGCTATTATACCACCAATCACCCTGATGAGTCAGCAGGACTTTTGTGCATCCAACAGGCTGAATCATTATTTCTGTGACTATGAGCCTCTTCGGGAACTCTCCTGTTCAGACACAAGCCTCATAGAGAAGGTTGTCTTTCTTGTGGCATCTATGACCCTGGTGGTCACTCTCATGATAGTGATTCTTTCTTATACATTCATCATCAAGACTATTCTGAAGCTCCCCTCTGCCCAGCAAAGGACAAAAGCCTTTTCCACTTGTTCTTCCCACATGATTGTCATTTCCCTCTCTTACGGAAGCTGCTTCTTCATGTATATTAAGCCCTCAGCAAAAGAAGGCACCACATTCAACATGGCAGTAGCTCTACTTATTACTTCAGTTGCTCCTTTGTTGAACCCCTTTATTTATACCCTAAGGAACCAACAGGTAAAACAAGCCTTCAAGGATACAGTCAAAAAGCTTTTGAATCTTTAAAGAACTTAATAATTAAAGCCTTAATAAATGACTCCCTACTATGTACCAAGCTGTCTGCTCATTACTAGCCACTCAACAGTGAGTTAAACTTCAGTCCAATGAGAGAGACGTCAAAATAAATAAATTACAACCTCTTAAGTGTTAATATAAAGAAATGAGTAGGGTTTTATAAGTGAAAAAGCAATTAAGTTATTCAATGGTTAGAAAGCGACAATGTTTTCAGAAGGGATGCCACTTAAATTGGGTCTTGGCAGGTAGGACTAAGACAAGCAAGCAAAAATAGAGAAAGGGAAATTTGGGTAGAAAGAATATTGTGGGCAGGAGCACAAACTTTCAATCCAAGAAGACCAATTAAATGTTATTATCATTAATTTCAATCAAAAGAGTCAGAAAAAAGTTGTAGAGATGATAATTTTAGCTTTTAATTAAGTTAAATTCTCATTTAAAATAAGTTAAATTCCCATAATGTCAAGGCATTTGAATTTGGGACCAGATCTATGGATTGAGCAATCCTTACCATGTAGACGGTAAGTGATAAGGTGGGAATAGATGAGGTCATGAATAGAAGCATGTATAGAAGAAACTTAAATTTTAAATGTGAAGGATCCTCCCAAAATTTAAATAGCAGAAGAAGGAGAAGGGATAATAAGAAAGGCAAAAGATCTGTGGAATTCATGAGAAGAGAATATCTCTAGAAACATAGGCTTTTGTTAATGTGAAATGCTGCAGAGAGTGATTAATATGAAGAATAAAAGTATGAGAATTGACAGGGTGTCATTAGGCTGACATCCATTTTCAGCAAATGTGGAAGTCGGAGGTTGGGTAGGAAGAAGTCAGACCGTAGTGTGTTACTGATGAGTGGGAGCTGCAAAGTTAGAGGATGGTAAAATGGAATTTCAAGAGTAGTGAAAAGAATGATCCCCAAGTTACATTCCCCTGCATTATCCTGTGCTTTCTCATTAATAGTATCATAATAATGTTATGTATATAAAATCTGTATTTGCCTCTAGTCTTTAAGGCCCAGGAGTGCGAGGATAATATCTTTTTGATTGTAATTCCATCTTCAATGCTAAGCAGTGGTAGGTGCTCAGTAAATAGTTGTTAAACAGTGAATGTATAAATGAATGGTTGGATGGATGGATGGATGGATGGATGGATGAACAAATGTATAAGGGAACCCAGGATAGATTTTTGTCAAGTAAAGAGCCTTGATTATTTGAGACTTATATACTTAGAGCAGTGAATTAGCAAGGCATGCTGCACATGGACTTCTTAGATCCACCTGGAAATTCCACCCCATTTTAAATCTGGGGAACTGAAGCTCAGAGGTGAAATAACTTGCACAAGATCACACAGGTAAGTGCCTGGACCAGAAGGCAAATATGTCTGGTGCCAAGCCTACCTGCTTAACTGCTCAGCCATACAGCCATTCTAACTGGTTTTAACATTTGCTGTCCTCAACATTTCTAAGTATTTTAAGTAACCTTGGCTTTTTACCCATCTCTCACTTTCCAAGCTCTCAACAAGCTTTGTTAGAAGCCTTTAGGATATGAATCATTTTAGGAAGTTGGAAGCATACAAAAACCCATGTTCTTCCACCCTGTGGCTCTTGACTTCTCTCAAGATGCTTCTCCTTTCCACATCCATATCTGTTATGACCAATTTCTTTTCTCTCTTTCAGAGGGAACATAAGACTCCAAAGAGCACGAGAACTAATAAAGTAGTATTTTGCCTCCACCCTCACCCACAATGAGCTTTCAATGAGGATTAAGTTATGAACAAGGGGTCTCATATCATCTGCTAACTGTGTTCACCTCCTCTCTATTCACCTTCTTTCTTAGCTACATGTCAGTGGCTTTGGCTCCCAGGCTTAAGGGCAGGAATGATGGTCTTACTGAAAATAATAGTGCCATGCCCATAATAGGCACTCAGTAAATGTTCAATTAGTAAAGGAACAACTAAATACGTGAAAATTCCTTCATTATTTTTAAGCTTCAAGCAGTTTTCATAAGGTTTTCTACCACCTACTTGTTTTTTTTTTGTTTGTTTGTTTGTTATTTCAGCATGTTATGGGGGTACAGATGATTAGGTTATGTATGATGCCCTTACACTCCCTCCCCGCCAAGTCCGAGCTTCAAGTGTGTCCATTCCCCCGGAGGTGTGCATCGCACTCATTGTTTGTGAATATGCCCGTCCCCTCCTCTCCCCTCCCCCCTCCCCCTGACCAATATCTAACACATGTTATTCTTATATGTGCACTTAAATGTTGATCAGCTAATACCAGTTTGATGGTGAGTCCATGTGGTGCTTGTTTTTCCATTCTTGGGATACCTCGCTTAGTAGAATGTGTTCCAGCGCTTTCCAGGAGTATATAAGAGGTGCTATATCACCATTGTTTCTTTTTTTTTTCCCCCTTATATTTCAGTATATTATGGGGGTACAGATGTTTTGGTTACGTATGTCACCATTGTTTCTTAAAGCTGAATAGTACTCCATGGTATACATATACCACAGTTTATTAATCCACTCATGTATTGATGGACACTTGGGTTGTTTCCACATCTTTGCAATTGTGAATTGTGCTGCTATGAACATTCATGAGCAGGTGTCTTTTTCATAGAGCCACTTTTGCTCTTTTGGGTAGATGCCCAGTAATGGGATTGCTGGGTCAAATGGTAGTTCTACTTGTATCTCTTTAAGGTATCTCCATATTGCTTTCCACAGAGGTTGCACTAGTTTGCAGTCCCACCAGCAGTGTATGAGTGTTCCTACCTCTCCGCATCCACGCCAACATTTATTGTTTTGGGTCTTTTTGATAAAGGCCAGTCTCACTGGAGATAGGTGATATCTCATTGTGGTTCTGATTTGCATTTCCCTGATGATTAGAGATGTTGAGCATTTTTTCATATGTTTTTTGGCCATTATTCTGTCTTCTTTTGCAAAGTTTCTGTCTAATATTTGACAAAGCAGACAAAAACATACACTGGGGAAAAGAATCTTTATTCAATAAATGGTGCTGGGAAAACTGGATAGCCACATGTAGAAGACTGAATCTGGATCCACACCTCTCACCTCTCACAAAAATCAACTCACACTGGGTCACAGATCTAAACCTAAGGAGTGAAACTATTAGAATTCTAGAGGAAGATGTTGGAAATACTCTTCTAGACATTGGCCTAGGCAAAGAATTTATGAAGAAGACCCCAAAGGCAATCACAGCAACAACCAAAATAAATAAATGAGACCTGATCAAATTAAAAAGCTTCTGCATGGCCAAAGAAACTGTCACAAGAGCAAACAGGCAACCCACAGAATGGGAGAAAATTTTCGCGTGCTACAAATCGGACAGAGGGCTGATAACCAGAATCTATTTAGAACTCAGAAAAATCAGCAAGAAAAAATCAAACAGCCCTATCAGAAAGTGGGCAAAGGATACCTACTTGTTTTTTAAAGGCTCAAAATCTTTCTCTTCTGAACACTTTAAAGTATATTTAATTTCACTGATCTTCTGTATTTTTTTAGTCTCAAATTTGTTTATTTCTGCTCTGATCTTTATTATTTGTTTCCTTCTACTAATTTTGGGTTCAGGTTGTTCTTGACTTTTTTGTTCCTTCAGATGCATCATTAGTTTGTTTATGTGAAATCTTTCTAGTTTTTTAATGTAGGCATTTATTGCTATAAACTTGCCTCTTAATACTGCTTTTGCTGTGTCCCATAGGTTTTTGCATGTTGTATTTCTATTTTCATTTGTTTCAAGGAATTTTTTTATTTCATTCTTAATTTCTGCCTTCACTCATTGGTCACTCAAAAAGCATGTTCTTTAAATTCTAAGTACTTATATAAGTTTCAAATTGTTCCTCTTGTTACTGATTTTTAGTTTTATTCCATTGTGGTAAGATAAGATACTGGATATGATTTTGATTTTTTTTATTTTTTGAAACTTGTTTTGTATCATAACATATGGTCAATCCTGAATAATGGTCCATATGCTGATGGAAAGAATGTATATTCTGCAGCTATTGGGTGAAATGTTCTGTAAATGTCTATTAGGTCCATTTGGTAAATAATCAGTTTAAATCCAATGTTTCTTTGTTGATTTTCTGTCTAGATTATCTGTCCAATGCTGAGAATGTTGGAGTGTTGAAGTCCCCAACTATTATGGTATCGGGGTCTTTAGATTAAATAATATTTGCTTTATATACCTGAGTACTCCAGTGTTGGGTGCTTATATATTTAAATTGTTATATTCTTTTGCCAAATTGATCCCTTTATAATTATATAATGTCCTTCTTTATCTCTTTTTACAGCTTCTAACTTAAAATCTGTTTTGTCCAATATAAGTATAGCTACTCCTGCTTGTGTTTGGTTTTCCTTTGTGTAGAATATCTTTTTCCACTCCTTCATTTCTTATTTTTTCTTTTTCTTTTTATTTTTGGTTTGCTCGTGTTATTTCAAAAGACCTATCTACCTGTCTTTAAGTTCAGAAATTCTTTCTTCTTCTTTGTCTAGTCTGTTGTTGAAGCTTTTGATTATATTTTTATTTCATTCATTGAATTCTTCAGCTCTATAGTTTCTGTTTGGTTCTTTTTTATAATATTTACCTCTTTGTTAAATTTCTCATTCGAATTATGAATTGTTTTCCTGATTTTTTTGAATTGTCTCTCTGTATTTTCTTGTATCACTGAGTTTCCTTAAGACTATTATTTTTAATTCTTTTTGGGGGGAATTTTTTATATTTCCTTATGATTGGAGTCTGCTACTGGAGAATTATTGTGTTCTTTGGAAGTGTCATGTTTCCTTGCTTCTTCATATTTGATGTGTCTCTACATTGATTTACACACATGTGGTGGAACAGTTGCCTCTTCCAATTTTATGGAGTAGATTTCATGGGAAAAGACATTCATATGGATGGCTATCAGGGTGTCAGTTTGGTGGAGTGAGTTGCCTTTGGTTCTAGGTGGATGCAGTAGTATAGTCTTTGTGTAGTTTCTTCAGCTGTA